GTTTCTTAAAAGAGTACAATGTTAATTAGGAAAATGAACTCTCCCTACAGCAGGTAGAACACATGGAACGTACTGAACCTACCATGAGAACGCACAGGAAAAAAAAAGGGAGAGAGAGAAGTTATGTTGTTTAATTCAGTGCAATAACAAACTCAAATTAGTTCAAACTAAAGATCCTGCACCAGCTGAGGAAAAGCTACAGTTTTACTTGCACATTAGATATAATGGGCCTATTTATCAGTTTATATCCGACTTAAACAGCAAGAGGCTGTGGGTGAAATTCTCGTTATGCCAAATCATTTTTAAACCGTCTCAGCAGTGTAACCTACCCTGAAGAGGGGAGTGGGAATAATTTATGTCCAAGTTTAGACCCCTTCCATGTCGGAACAATGTACGGGACTCACAGTGGGGAAGAGATTTGGATTCTGCCTTATGATCTATTCCGGTCTTCTTCAAGATCTACTCAATAAAAGTCCTACTTGTTTAGTTGAGAATGTAGCAATGAGAATGGTCCCATCTCATCTATGAAAGATCTCAATGATTTTTTGATGACAATATCTGTTTAATCTTGTACTTAATGTCTCTGAAAGATATCTTGGGAAGAGACTGTATATTTAGTACTTGAAAGATGGGAAAAGTAGAAATAAGGAGGGTAAAAATCAGATTTTAAAGCTGAGATCTAATTCTGTGTGTCAACAACATGAATAAACTTCAGACTGAATGTTCTGAGCACTGCAGCTCTTGTGAACGTCAAATTATTCGGTCCTTAGATTGGACAGTATTTTTTAATGTTAACATCCCAATTCGGAGCCGTCTGCTAAAGCAGGGAGCAGAGCTCAACACAACATTCAGTCGCACCAAACCCACTCCTTGGCCAGCTAGGAGGGATGAGGAGGGAATAGGGGCTGCCCACCTGGCAGCTGAGCACAAAAATCAAAATCATAAGAAAACAGAGAGGGGCCTTTAGTAGTCATCGATCTCTCCTGTCGGCTGAGCCGTTCCCAAGAGAGGAAGGAATAGAAAGGTTATTAAGTGGTAAATAACAAAGTGGCAAACAGCTTTTCCCAAGGAACTACGTGCTCCATCCCCGCAGGCGTTGTGCTGTCCATCCCATGGCCCAAGGGGAATTATTGGCCAATACTTCCCAGCCAACCTACAGGCTGGAGGAGCCACCAGTGGCTTGAGAGCTGCAGTCGGAGCAGCGACTTGGCCACTGAAAAAGGTACCTGATGGATGAGGAGCTCTGGGAGGTACAAGCAGAGGGTTGGACTGATTAGGGTAAAGCAGAACTGCCCAGAAGGGGTGACAAATAAAGCATGAATATTGAAATACACCAAGGCTTAGCCATACCTTTGCTGTGAGCCTCAAGTGAGTCTGCACATCAGCAGCACTACTATAAAGTTGCTGATTTTGCAGACATTTGTTCCTCAGCTTGATAAGTTAATATATATTGTTTAACGTGATAATGTAGCAAGCTGTTGTTTTGTGGCTTGAAAGCCAGCTGCGTTTGATTGATGCCAGGAATGGAAGTATTTATAAAATGACACTGAATTAGAAGTAGTCAGTTTATGGGTCTGGGGAAATGAATCTTTTATGAAGAATAAAACTTTATGATGAAGGAGTAATGCTGAGGAAGTATGCAGCTTGAATTAAACTCTTTTGGAATGCAGTCTATGCTGTAAAGCCTTTTCAAATGTAAGTTTGTGGCACTTGCTGCATTTTTAGGAAGTGGATCTCTAAGCATCCTCTTTAGAGGGGGGCCCACCCCAAACTCTCTCCCGTGTGGGTACATTCTGCAGTCATCTAAACGAGGTGGGCCAGTTGCTCCATGGAAATACAGTCCCCGGACTTCTGCAAAAACTGCTTGGAAGATGTTTTAGCTCCTGGTTTAAACCCATTGTGAATTTTGAGGCACCAAATGCAAATTTTAGCTCACTTTTTTTTTTTTTTTTTTTTTTTTTTTTGTAAATATAGGGGTCTGTTCAGTTAGAACAGGATATAGGTCTAGGCACCACTGTGCTTCTGAGCAAACCCGCTGGTCTTGTTTGGGAGCACAAGAGCAGATGCGTTTCTGAACACAAGCCGTTCTCACATTGCGTTCAGCAAACCATTTCCTCCCTCATTTCACCAGGGTATTCAGCAGCATCTCCGGGTGTTTTAGCAATTCAAGCATATAGGTGATGTTTAAAGAGCTGCAGTTCTATGTACTGACGTTTGTGAACAAATTACGGATACAACCTTGTACCCATATCCCAAAACCTTCAGCAAAGGCAAGGCAGGAACAGCAAGGTCTAATTCCTGATAGCTTTCCTCCTGCCAGCATCTCTGTGTGACCCGAACGTAAAATTCGCCTCTTCTGCACTCGCTGCTGGAATTTTGCACAGGTTTGCATGGGAGAACTGATTGTGCAGAGCAAGATAACGTCTGGTGAGCAGCAAGGTTGAAGAACTGCAGCTGGCAAATCACAGTCAGGTTCAGCCACTGTGCAGAGCCCGTTTCATGCCACAGCAACTAGAGATCTGGAGATTTACATGAGATCAGATCTGAACATCTACAAGTGCCTTCCAAAGTCTTACTGTGAGAAATACTGCAGTAGACCTCTCTAGGAGCACTGTCTAAATGGGATTGCAGCATGAGTATATATATTTCAATCAGATTTTAAATCTTTGCTGAGCATCTAGGAGGTTAATAATGCTGGAATTTATATTCATTTAAAATATAGATGTACTTAAAGACCATGGCATCCCATTAAATTGTGTTTTTCAAGGAAGAGTTATGAACCAAATTCCCGTTGAATTTCAGTAGTTTTTGTGATCCCTTCAAGATTTGCCTTTATTCTTACTTCCTGGAATTCACGTAGCTTTGGAGATTTTCATCACCCACATAAACTAACACAAATACAAATGATCTTTCTCAAATACATTAAGCACCTAAACTAGCACCACGCACCCTAAGTTCTCTGCATTTGTGAAGAGAATCTTCATTCTTTGGAAAGCGGCTGTTTTTCTTCGGAAGAAGTCTCAGACAAAGCAGGTGAAATATCAGGGCTAGGATCATCTTGTAATATTGGAAAACATGGCATGGCATCCAGTGGTAAGCTGCTTTTTGAGCTGTCTGACCTTTAATCACTGGTGAATAAAACCAGCGTGCTGTCACATCTCTGTTATATTTCTCAAGGGGGTAACTCTGCCTGAAGTAGCAGTGCAGTAAAACCTCTGAGAGCTTATAGTCAAGGTCAGCACAACAACAGGCACCACTTTGTACTCTTAGATGTATAAAACAAGGGGAAAAAAAAAGAGGAAGCATCTAAACAAGTGAGTTTTGCGTTTGTCTAACGCAAGCAGTTATATCAGCCTATAAATGAAGATGTTTTTGTTTCTGCTTTTTCATTAATATTTCATTTTTGATTCCTAAGTTTTCTGTGCTCGAAGACCTTCGGGAGGAAACTCCCTGGTTATCATTGCAGATGACGGATCTGTATTTCTGTTCTGCAGGAGGTGTCAGTGTAATTTTGGCTTCGGCTTTGTGGTATAAGGCTTTAATTCCTTGTAGTTTTCTCGCCGCGGAGGCCGAGGGGGGCACCGGGACGGCTCGTGCGCCCTTACAGACCTGGTGTGAAATGGAAATGTGTTTGAAACGTGTTGCATTGTGATGTTCTAAAGTAATACTCGCCTATGAAGAGTCTACGGGGAAATAAAAGGGTTAGCCACCATGTAAGAATTGAACTCTAACAGAAAAAAAAAAACATTAATCAACTTTGACGTTGCGGTTCACACATTAAATAATTTGGCTTTGGTATTAAGGTACTTAAATGCAAATTGCGTATTTGATGGGCTTTGCTAAATTATGTTTTGCTGGGATTTTAGGCAAAAGAACATATACTTTCTTGGATTCCCAATTAGAATTTGTGCAAGGATTGCTAACACCTTTTGAATTCATTTGTTGCTTTATTTTGATTCAGCGTGGAAACTAATTTGTTGATTTGATCGTGACTTTTTTCCTTATTTGACAGGATTTTATTGTTTGCTCAGGTTAATTTTACCAGAAATATTTTACTATTTTTAATTAGATTGTTTTTACAATAATGCCTATGTGCACACCTGAAAATAAGCTGAGTAAGAAACTGCAGTGATCCGAGAGTGAATATCTCAGGGCTAAGCCCAGGTGTCTGATTAATTCCTTTCTTGGCTTCCCTCTGTACTGTACAAAATAAATAAAAAGCGCCACGGTCGGGTTTTATAGGCCCGCGGGAGGCTGGCAGAGCCCTGTGTGAGGGAGACGATGCAGGAGTACGTGCAGCACCAGTGAACAGGAGAATTAGCAGCACCTCAGCCCTCCTGTTAATGGGATGTTGAGGAGGATGGGAGTCTTTTTTCCTCCGTACATCATTTAAGATGCTGTGTAATCACCAGTTCTTACCCTATAGCATGTTCTGTATGTCCAGGATCTTAGAAACAATTTCCCCACTCTAAAGATCCAGTCTAGCAGTAGCGTCTCTTTTTATCGAGGGTGATACAGTAAGATAATTAACTCAAATTGAAATCAGAATAATATAGGGCTTAGTCATGATTGAATTTGTCTTACTGGCAAATGATTTGTAATACCCAATCGATTCTGAACGTTTAAAACAGAGACCTTTCTCTTACTTTAGCATCTTTATCCTGTAGACTCTCTACCAGTAGAAATCAAAGTGTGGAAGATAAATCTATAGTTCATCTCATGAAAAGCCATTAAAGTAACCAAGTTTATAGATATGGGGAACTTGTGTTGGAATCATTTGTCTGCTGCCAACCAGAAACACGTCTTCTGTTGTTGGCTCAGCGGCAAGGAAAAAACAAGACAAATACAATTACAGATTAACTATGAAGTGAAATTACTTAGTGGTCTCACTGAGATAATTATGTTTTATACCCACATGGTTCTCGCATGTGAAAGCAGAACAATTCTGCTTGTCCTCCCTAATTGCATTCCGCTGTCTTGGCGCCCTTCCCGTAGGAACAACGGTGATGCGGATGACGGCGTTCGACGCCGACGACGCGAGCACGGACAACGCTCTTCTGCGCTACAACATCCTCAAGCAGACGCCTACCAAACCCTCCCCAAACATGTTCTACATTGATCCGGAGAAGGGGGACATCGTCACAGTGGTGTCACCGGTGCTGTTGGATCGGGAGGTAAGTGAGGCCTTTCCTGTTTTCAGCCTGGTAGTTCAATGTCTGTGCTTGTATTCCTCAGCTAGGACATGGTTTCAGAGTGTCTGGGAGAGACACGGGTCATCTGTCAAGTTTTGCCCAGTCTTTACATAGTGGTTTTTTCCTTATTTTGGTATAAGAAGTCATCGGCCATGACTTCTGGCATTATAAATCTGATAGTTCATCTTTTCTGGACAAGCCCTCTTGTGTTGAGTGCTGAGGGCAAGGATCCCCGCACTGGAATTTGACCTCCAGTTATCAATTAACCACTTGGAAACAAACAAAAAAATAATTCTGTGTACAGCCTATTGTGAGTTCGTGTTGGGCATAGTTTGGTGATTTAAATGCATCTCTAGGATTTCCTTTTCTGTTGAACAGATATGTTGACATAAAGATGAATTAAACAGTAACTCTGTGAATTAACAGTTCCCTTGGGTCATAGAAACCAATATGCTCTTAGGTACCTGATGGTGACAAAGTTCTCTCCTCACAGATTCCTTCAGCCAAATCCAAAGATCTTAACTTCTCACCCATAACCCTGATAGAATTATGCAATATTCTCAATATTCAGCACCTGTTTCTCATTTTAGCCAGGTGGAAGTGAGGCCAATGCCACTTCTGCTTTTATGTGACTGTATCTTTTCTGCAAGCTTTTCCAACAGATAAAACAGATATACATTCTAGTAAAACCATGGTATTGGCTTGTGGATCTGTCTTTTAAATTCAGAGTGATTCCAATTCTTTCGTTCTTGTCTGGGTGGCCACAGAATCATGCCCTAATGAATCACTGCCTTTATGCACCAAGTTTCCCTTCCAACTTCACTGTTTACACTCAAAAGCTTTATACTATTTTCCAAAGTCAGTTTAGGTATTTTTATTCCTAATAGGTAACCATTCCCCAGATTAAACCAATTTACTCAAAATTGGAAAATCAATGGAAGGGAACGAACACACCGGCTTTTCCTAGTATCTTCTAAAGGTCAATGGTGATTCATGAAACAATGATGCTGTCCCCATGCAAGAAATCCGGCCTCAATCGAAGGGGCATTACTGCTGGATAGTATATCCTGAAAGCAAGATCTGAATTCCCCATGATTTTTAATAATAGTTGATTCAATATCTTTACTTTAAAGGTGGCATGGCAAACGGCAGTCTTGTTGAAACTACAAAGTAATTTTTGTTGTTGCTGCAAATGTTGAATGTTTTACGAGCGAGAATATAAGGCTGCGTAAAATTTTAACGCCAAAAAGCATTATCCGCAGTTAAATTTCAGTCTAATATTGACTTTTCAGGTAAGAGGCTTGGGGAGAAAGTGTCAGCTTTCTGTTTCTGCAGAAATGGCTCTGGGTTGTGCCGTGACCTCTGCTGTCTTAGTAGGTTGGTGTCTTTTTCCCGCTCCTGCTCACATCTTTCTTGTGTGGAATTAGTGACCCACAGGCAAAGATGCACAACACCTATTTTTAATTGGAATAGCTTTTAGGTGAAAGTGCCCTAATAATCCTATTCCAAATAATTTAGGAGAGCAACATAATTCCAATACTGTAACTATCTCTAGGTGTTTCACTAGCCCCTAAGATGAAATTATTGTAAAAGGTTTGGAGGAATGATGTAGGCGCAATGGAAAACTGGTGGCCGAAGAGTCCTACTTGCCCCAGCCACCTTGCACTTTTCTGTGGCTTGCTAGCTCATTTTTTTATCATTATTATTTTTAATTTTAGTGAGTTTTTTAATTTTTTGAATCATAACAACTGTTGCAAATCCAAAGAGGATTTTCTTCACTGCTCCTTGTAGGTATATTAACTAAAACTCTATTAGCCCTGAACACCAACTGAGTAGCTGAGATAAAAACTCTTTAGAATGGATATGGAGAGGGGAGAAAGCTATTTATCATCACCAATGTGCACGCGCTAGAGGCTGATATAAACCATTTTACAGTAAGATAAAATGCTGATAAAATGTATTCTCGTTTTCCATCTCTTTTAATATTCTTAACCATTGCTAGATGTCGATGCTTTTGGAACCTTCTATTCATTTAAGTTACATCGACAGAATGTAAATTGCTATTTTTTTTATTTTAACTATAACTTCTTTCAAGTTGCATAGCAAAGGGAACAGGAAACTGGGGATATTGCCCAGTGGGAGACACTGAGATGTGGAGATGCGGAAGTTTGTGAACATACACTGGAACCTGCATTACTTTTTCATGCTTTTGAATTTTGAGAGGGGTTGCCATGATACACTTTGGGAAAATCTTTTTTAGTACAATGAATCAAAAGCCAGATATTCACCCTAACGTAAAACAGAGTTCGGGTGTCTGGAGAACTTAGATTTTGTATTCAATAGATGCAGGAGAATCTCAGCATGCAAAAGTGATTTTTATCTCCTTAAAATCAGCTAAATGTTTGCGCTTTTTTTTTTAGTAATACTTTAAGATTCAAAGTGATTTCTCAGTAGATGCTTTATGTTTAGAGAGGATGGGAAGGCCCCAAGGTGCGTGAAGCCACCTCTCCTCCATGGGTGATGGCAGAGCAGTGCTGTGCATGAGCAGGAAGGACTGCAAACTGCACTCTCTTCTTTTCATACTAGAAATATGTACCTAAATATGGTCTAGAAATACGAAGAGGTTCTGAGGTCTTTTCTCTGGGTTGCTTGCCTGCTCTCTGCTCCCCAACATAGCTATTTTTATGTTCAAAAGATACATAAAACATGGCACCAAATCCAAATCTTGTAGGGTAACAAGATACCGTGTCTTAAGATCTTTCAGCAGCATCCAATTTTCATGAATTAGGACTTAGTCATGATTGAATTTGTCAGGCACTGGACTTGTTTTATAAGTCTGCCAGCAGCATCCAATTTTCATGAATTAGGGTTTTCCATAACTTCAACAGGAACTGGACTTGTTTTATAAGTCTGTGTGTTTAATTTAGCATGGATGGGTGAAAGTGTTTGCTCTGGTGCTATTTCCATAGTATAGTATCACTTACAAAAGTGTTAAGTGAAGAAGTCAATCACTTCTTCACCGTATGCAGAAGGTGTTGAGTGATCCCCCAGGTTGCATCCAGCAAACTGCTGAGTGCTGCTGATCCCTAGTGCCATCTGATGATGGGAGCAGGGGGAGGCCTGCAGAGAAAGGCCTGATTCTATCAGGGTTTTTTTATTTGTAAATTTTTCAGTTTCCAAATTGTTTACAAAAGTGCATGTTCCTCAGGGTTTTCAGCAAAGCTCAGATAATTTATTGAAGAACATCCATTTTCATTCTGAGAAGGCAGGTAAGGACATATTTTTGATGATTAATGTGCATTTCTTCTTGTGGGAGTTAAGCATCCTTGAATGTGTCAGCAAGAAAGATTGAGGAGTGTTAGGGGGCAAATTATACCTCCAGATAACCACTGGAGAATGCATTTTGATTCATAGATTCACAGGAGGAAGATGCCCTCCACCAAAGTATATAGTCTAAATGACCCAATATAGAGCACAGCAGATTAAAAAAACAGAATCTTGAGGAAACGTCCCCAGTTTTGTATTTTGGGGATGAAGAGTCCATTTCAAAGTGACACTTGTGTGCAGTGAAAGAAAAATAATGCTCCTTGTATGTGTAGCAGGAGAAAAACTTGTGTTCCTGTAGAATCAGCCCTGCCAAGTTCCTTGAGGAAGCAGTAATTCTATTTTTCTGCTTGCCTACAATGCTGTTTGGTCAGTGCTACAGACGCCCACTCTGCAAGTGATTCTGGCTGATTTGTATAAATTTAGCAGGACAGTAGTATCATCAGGAAGCCACCACCACAGTCGCGAGAGCGAAATACTTCCTTTACTCCTCAGACTTTGAGGAATAATATGTGCTTTTATGAGGAACTTCTGTGCTCAATTTGGAATATGGTTGAATGCTAGTTTGAGCTTTCAGTGTTGGGCCATCTCTAGAGAGGCCAACTCGCCACAACCCTGTGCAGCCACCCCAGCATTTTGAGAAGCAGCCCCTAGGTGATGAGCTCTTTTGAACCAAGGTTAGTGCATCAAACTAGCATTATTTATGTCTTATGCACCTCTCACTCTCCTTCTCACTTGCAGTTTTATGCCATGAACCACCAGAAAACTAGTTAGACTTGCTGAAGGTTATGTAGACAGCTTTTAAGCGTGGACCGGTTGGTAAGCGTGTGCATAAATATTCTTCACAGTTTTCCACCGGTTCTTCGGTGATAAGAAAATCCTGGTGTTCTTGTTGATAGGACTTAAGTTCTCTGAAGGGGGAGCAGTAGGAAATAGAAAATGCCGGTTCACTTCTGCAGATGACCACTACCCTCTTTATCTTTATTTCCCGTTTTAGAGATATGCGTCTTAAGCAGTCAATACACTTATTACTTACTCCATCTAAATGCAAATGCCAAAGCAACAGTGCACTCTCATTTTTAATGAAAGATATTAATCTTTTCAGCAAATGCATTACACATTTGATCTTCATATTAACCTTTAAAATATTCATGTTTACTCTGACTGTAGGCAAATGTATATCTTCGAGCACATTGGCTCTGAGTTGGAATAATTGTATCTTTTTGTCTTGTCTTCACTGGCAAAATTCCCACTCACAAAACTTTGCCTTGTTTTGCAATACAGTAAATTCTCAGCTGGGCCTCAGTATCTATGGCCTTTTTATTTTATTTTATATTATTTCAGGACAGATATGGCAGTATCTTTTATTGCTTTCTCCACATATAATTCAAGGCAAACAAAGGAATTCATCCTCTACCGCTGATTAATACATTCCTTATACTGTTGTGTCCGATACCTTTAAATGTGGGAAGCAATGGATCTTCAGTCAGCCTTTTTCAGAGATTATTCCACAGTCTACTGTATCTCAGATATTAGTGATTTTTAAGGATATGAAGGAAGCCACATTTTGCCTTTCTAATGATCTTGTGATTGATGTCACATTTTGCAGGTCCATTGAACAAAGTTATACTGTCCCTCTTCATGTGTTATCTTTTTAT